ATGAATTCTATTATCACATTAATTCTCATGCTACTTCATTCATTTACTTACTAAATTTTGCATCAAATGCTTGCTTAGTTCAAAATTAACATAGACTAATAATTAATATTAATTTAATTATATAATTTCAATATTTCCTAATGAGGGTTGTTATAGTTAATGTATAAGAGATAAAGGTAGAAAGGGCAAAGTCAAGAACATAAGGCGTGGTTAAATGAAAAAAAAATGTATATACATAAAAAAAAAATGAAAAAAGAAAGAAAAAGAAGCTTGCTTATTAGAAAAGTATTATATTTCATGAATAAAAATGTGTGGAAAATTACAAAGGATGGAGAGTTGAAAAAGAAAAAGAAAATGTGTTTTGCGAATGTGTTATTAATTGATGATTGTTTCTTTTTAAATCTGATTTCTAAACTTATAGCCACTTTTTCTGCATTTAATCTCTTCCTTTAGCCATGGTAGTGTTTCTTTAGTGAAGAATGAGTAAAACACACACCCTCAGACACTTGAGTGTGAGTGAGTCAAAAATCCTAGTGGTTTAATTTCCCTACTTTCTTTCTTGAGAACTCTTGTTACAATTCTATGACTTGTGGATTGTGAATATTTGCTTGATTTGATGCCTCATTATTTTTATACATTAAGACTGAATACTCCCTTGATTGTGATATTTATTGATTGACCTGTTGAGATTTCATTAAGCACATGAACTCGTCTCGTTTCCCATAATTTTGTTTTAATTGATTGTTGGGATAACAATATTCTAAATCTGAAATAAACTCACCTAGAAATGCATGTTTAGGCTTCTGTAATCGGTAAAAGTCGAACTTTTGGATTGATATCTCGCGAAATGCAGAATCTGAGTTCTGCCGCGAAATATCAGGATATTGGGTTATAAAAGTGTCAGACACGACACGTTAGAATTTTTGAAGTGTTGTTGCTTCATAGGTCCGCGCCCGTACATAACACATAAAAATCTAAGTAACCAATTTAAGTTCATTGTAATTGCTGCCTACGGTGGCTGATATCCAGACCATTTTCTGTTTAGGTATAATACCAACTGTGTTAAGAATTTTCGAGAACTGTTGTTTCTATTTTTTGATATTATGAAAGTAGTTATTTTAACCTTCTATTTTAAGGATTAATGTTTCTATGTTGTAGGAGATAATTTTATTTTCTACACACACATAAAAATATATAGAGCTCATGTAGAGTCGAAGAGAAGAAAGAGAAAAAGAAAATGTGAGCTCTATACACTTTTATATATGTGTAAGAATGTGACATAAAAGATATTAATCCCTTTGTTTGAAGACCAATTACCTGTTTACGTGTTTGAATTATTGTTTCCATGTTTCCAATTTAAGAAAGGAATGAAAATATAAGAGAATATTGTACAGACCGTCATCACCGTTAACTAACTATAAGTAATGCTGACGATACAAGTCCATTTTCCTTCACTCTCGATCAAACTTCCTTCGAGTGTAATTTTAGTACCCGTTTAAGTGGCTGGCTGAGTTATTTGATACCAACAAAATTTGAAATTTCTGTATATTTTTATCTTGTATAGACTAATCCATAAACAAGTGATGTGAAGCAGCATTATCTCTTAACGGGTTGAGTACGTCGAAGAATATTTTTAAGATCAGTGAATCGAATACTTAACTTGCCAAATCTTTCACACCCTTTTTTTATTAGGGTCAGGATCCGTTTACAAATTTTTTTGAATTTTTTTACAATTTACACTGTATTCTCCCGGAAGAACATAGTGTAGTTTGTAAAAATTTGTATTCTCCCGGGAGAATATAGTGTAGTTTGTAAACAAAAAAATTTGTAAATATAACCTGCCTTTTTTATTAATATATAACTTTACAAACTATCTTTCGGTTGTGACGTGTTCAGTTGCTAAGTGACAATGGTCAACCATGTGATTATTTATTATAAGAGATAATTTTAAAACCCATGATATTATATGGAAAAAAAATTAAAATATAAATCTTAGATATATATATATATATAATAAAAATATCTTTTATAACACGAGAAACATTAATCCAAACAAAAAAATTTGATGAACTTTAAAAAAAATGTTCCCAAAAAAAAAATCTAAAACTATAATTTAATATATAGAATATTACAATGATTAATCCAAGAAAACCACAACATTAGGGAATGCAAAACACCGGCCATGCTGTTGTACTGATAAAATGATTTTCTCGCTCTCAATACAAAATAAAATAAATAATCCAAATAAAATAATATTATTAATTTCCTCGCTCCATGTTGTAATTAAAACATATGCCTGGAATTTTCAAGTGACTTTTCGAAGTAAAGTAAACCAAGGTTTCTGTAATGACTTAAATTAATGGGATATCAATGATGCTCACACATGAAGGTGATGCACTAAAGTAGCTGACATAGAATTCAAATTTTCATTTGCTCAGACATAAAAAGTTATGAGAGAATAGATAAACCAGAAAATTAGAGTCTTCAACTGCTCAGTAAAAAAGAGTAATCTATGACGCCTCATTCCTATCCAAATTTCAACAGAAATGAAACTTCCACCTAAAAACTTCGAAAATAACTTACTGCTATAATTCCTATTAAAAAAATTTACAATTTAATTCTTTTAAGTATTTAAACAAATGAAATATATCTAACTCCACCTACCGATCTAGGCAAAATTATAGAGGTTACAAAGAAAAACTACAAAAACAAAACTGCAGGAACATGGCTGCAACATTGAACGTTGCAAATAATACCAAAATATTAACAGATCACGCAAATGATATGCAGAAGGACAACCATCTAACAGAACATACACATGATAACCAACATCATATATCAAGCAGCTGCTCCCCGGCCTTCATAACGAACACGTCCCCGGCCTCTTCCCCTTCCACGTCCACGACTTGCAAAATCATCAAACAGAAATTACTATAATGTTCATACAAGTAGCATACAGGAAGAGAACTTTAAAATGCTGAAAAAGAAGGAATAAAAGGCACGGAGGAAAATTAAAAAGACAAGGAAAACAGTTGATGAATTCAAATGAATTTTCTTCTGTATCTTCCGTAGCCTGATTTAATAGGAAGCACCATCTAATGCAAATAGCACATTTAAAAACACAAATCCATTCACTATGCCAGCACACACCTGGCATCAATCAATATTTCATCCGATAATACAACAAATGTAATTTAGGCATCACAACATAAATTTATTTTCTACAAATCTAAATTTCATGAACTTGCATGCTTACCACGTGGGGCAGGTGGCGCATCATATTCACCATAGTCATAGTACCCAACCGGCTGGGCACCATAGCCACGTCCACCATCCCAGCCATCATCATCTTTAAAAATTCCACAGTAAGGAGTTCAACAAACCATTTCTGAACATTCTATAATCTATAGAACAGCCAATTACAGTGAAATAAGTGAAACTAAGTACTTGGCAATACCTCTACCCCTGCCCCTTCCACGACCACGCCCACGCCCTCTTCCTCGCATCCTTGGTGAGCCTTCTGTATTAGATCAAACTATAGTAAACATGCCATAATAAACACTTTTTTCACTTTTTTTTAAAAATTAAAAGAAAAAACTTTTAACTCACCTCCTTCCTCTTCATATTCATTTAAAGGTTTTACTTGATCAACTGGAATAGGAGGTTGGTATCTGCATGAGGGGAAAAAAAAGAAACTTAAAATACCAACAATGAATATAATTAAAAAGAACTCAACCAGTCTAACGAGAGGCATGGGGGCTGCCCCCAGCCCCACCCCCAAAAATAAATAAAAAAACAAAGTATTATATCCTAGATTCACCCCAGGTATAAACCATACTACTGTTGCTTGAATTTTTCATTTCAGTCTAGCAAAATAATGTAAGCAAAACTAACTGAGACACCCAAAAAATCTTCTTTTTGTCAACACAACTGATTGCATGTACAGAAGCTTGTAGAAACATAATACAGAAGACAACCAGAACTAGTAGATCATGACTGGACCTTAATATACAGAATTGAATATTTAATAGAATCCATTTGGAGCCAAAAGTTAGAAGAGGAAAAAAACGAAAAGTGCAAACTTATAATCAACAGAAACTGATACACTAAAAAGTTAATGAAGTTGAAACCTTCCATCAGTCTGCACGAAAGTCATATGGGAATAAGTACAACAGCATGATAGACACAGTATTTACTTCACTCCTTGAATTCAAAGAACTAATATGTTCCCTCGTCCTCAACATGGTATTTGAAAAACAGGGTACAAATTAGGAGTCAAATGCCAAACAAAGAAACATGTCAAGTAAATTTACATGCTCCTCTCCACGTTTAATGAGATTATACAGACCTGACTTTTTCTAAAATAACATAAACAACCCTTTGTTTAGAATTTAACAAGAAAAAAAGGGAATGTACGACTACAGGATGACTTATCAATGATTGCTGAGTATAGTATTATTGACAGTGATGAGCAGTTTAAGAAGGTATTGCACAATATTCGACCTTCGCATTGTTACAATTAAATATCCACACAGATGCAAGAGACAACCACACAGAAGTATCTACAAATAAAACTTTTCTTTTCTATTCTTGTTTTCTTGCTCTTTTTCTTTTTCTCTTGATCTCTTGATCTAGATTTCATACAAACTATCAAAGGCTATTTATAAGCTATAAAACTGACAAACATAACTCCACACATAACACCTCATTACTTTATAACTGACATGACTGACTCATTAATATTCTAACTGACATAACTGACTCATTAATGTCCACTAACACAAACCTAAGGACATGACTCTTCACCAGAAAACTCTTCACATTTCTATTTTCTATTTTCTATTTTTATCTCATTAAAATTTAACCCAACAAAACTCCCCCTTAAATTTTAATTCTTCTTTTTTGAATTTTCCATCGGTTGATTTTTTTCGCGCTGCTTCCATGTTACACTCCTTTCATCAATTTTTTTTTTGTCTGGCGGTTCCTTCATTGGTGGAAGATAGACAATCTTGAATTTTTCTCCGTCGACCTCGTCCTCCTATATACTTCTACATCCATTCTTACACGTATGATCATCACACAAGTCATCATACTGATCAGTATCTGTATCACTATAACGTCCCATTAGTTTTACAACACCTATGCCAATTTTAATAATTTCAGATTCAACATGTGCTACATTAATAGCACGTTGGGCCTCTTCAACCACAGTAACCCCATCACTCATTGAGGACCGTTGATTCTCATCATCAAGCAAATAACTCAACGCATCATTTTCTGATTCTGCCCCACGATCTTCTTCTGGTTTACGCTTGAGCCAAAATGATTCTGCCATAAAAGTAACTCTAGGCTCCTCATCGCCGGGTTCCCTATCCACAATCACACCTTCCATTTTTCCGCTCTCAGTTTCTTCATCGCCGGGTTCTTCTTCATCGAGAACAGCTTCCACGCGCCTCATCAATGGAATCTCAGACCACTGTCCTCCAGGGAAATGGTCTCTTTTCGGTGGTGTCGACATCTTCCACTTCCACCATAAATTCAATGCAGTCTCCGACTTCTGACTTCCAACCTGAACCGCGCCTATGTCGGTCTTCGACATCAACCTCATCACGCCGGGGTCGAGCTCTTCTCCAAAACATGAACTCGGTGATTTAGCCGGGATCTCCCCCATCCCGGTTATCAACACGGAACTCGGATTCGCGGTCTCCACCATGCCGGTCTCCATCAAGCACCTCGGCTTCTCAATCTCCTTTCCGATTTTCGACTCAGTCTCCAGACACTCAGGTTCCACGAAGTCTTCTACTTCGACAATGGACTCGTCGTTCCCGTTCTCCTCCTCTTCTATCTCAGCTCCCTTGTTCTCATCCTCTTCTATCTCGGCTCCTTCGGCCGTAGTCATCTCCATCGTCTTCTTCTCCGAGTCGTTTCTTACGCATTCTGACACGTCAATCTCCTCCGCGGATGCGTTGCCGTTGGCAACCTCGGACTCCGCCATCTCGATCTCTTCTTCATCCGCATCATTCTGCTCATCTTCATCATCATCATTGATGATTTCATCTTCTTCATCATCAATCAGATCAAACCGTCCAGGTAGATATTTCGCTATAAAGGCTATTTGAAAATTCTTCCACATGTTATTAAAATCGCGGCAGTTCCATGTACGGAACCATTTGATTGCGCTTCCTCTGAGTCTTCTCATGGCTACCTGCCATTTGTTCTCCGTCCAGATTTTTTCTTTCCGAAAATGTTCCTTCAAACAGAGAAGCCAATCTAATGCTTCATCCTAATCTCCATGGAAGAGTGGCACTTCTATCTCGTTCTTTTCCTCCATAGCCCAAGCTCTGATACCAATTTGTTAGAATTAAATATCCACACAGATGCAAGAGACAACCACACAGAAGTATCTACAAATAAAACTTTTCTTTTCTATTCTTGTTTTCTTGCTCTTTTTCTTTTTCTCTTGATCTCTTGATCTAGATTTCATACAAACTATCATAGGCTATTTATAAGCTATAAAACTGACAAACATAACTCCACACATAACACCTCATTACTTTATAACTGACATAACTGACTCATTAATATTTTAACTGACATAACTGACTCATTAATGTCCACTGACACAAACCTAAGGACATGACTCTTCACCAGAAAACTCTTCACATTTCTATTTTCTATTTTCTATTTTTATCTCATTAAAATTTAACCCAACACGCATTTCACCAACCTGAGACGGTGTTGCATTTCACATATCACCAATAAAAACCTGAAACATTTTGCAAGTAATTTGATGGTGGCTTCAGAGCTGCTTGAATATCTCACCATTGAACAATGTCACACAATACGCTTTTTGTTTCCGGTTCCGATTTTCTGGATAGCGCCGATAAAGGAATTAAAGATAGAATCATGTTATTCTTTCCTGCAAGTGTTTGGGGTTTGCTCGTCTTTAAATGAATTTAAGTTCCCAGCGAGCAAGGTGGTGCTCAAGGACCTCCCACGTTTGATGGAGTTCCATACAAAAGACATTGCATTAGAATTATCAGCCTTGAAAAGTTTGATAATAGAAGATTGTCCTGAGTTGAATGAATTCACAACTGGGTTTGCAACTATGTATGAAGATTCTATAGCTGACGGCATGTCTTTCTCCCAACTTAATGAACTCAGCTTGGTTAGTTGCCATAAAATTGTTTGTGTTATCTCATCTTACACATTACAAGAGTTGGGGAATTTGAAGAGACTCACTGTGAGTCATTGTACCTCATTGAAAACGGTTTTCAAGATTCAAAGGGAAATACCTCATTCTATGCTCTTGCAGCATCTAAGTGAATTGACTTTAATTGATTTACCCAATTTAATTAACATCATCATGGATAAAGGAGATGAAACTAGAGGGAAATCTTTTCCTGAGTTGAAGTATGTTTCTCTTGAAAATCTAACAAAGCTCTCAACATTTTTTCCACCTACATCTGAGTTTCCATCCTTGGAAACATTAAAAGTAGCAAATTGTCCTGCGTTGAAGACTTTTGTTGAAGAGTCCCATAAGCTGAAAGATCGCCTAACTACTTCAAGTTGCTTCTTCCCAACTTCTGTAAGTTTCATTTAAAATTCATTTTCAACTATCTATAGCCATTTTTATACGTATTATAGTTCATGTTATACTTCCTACTTAGTTTTATAGCCATCTAGCTTGCATCCATTGAACTTACCTTTCGTTCCATGCAGTTGTCATTGGACAAATTGAAGGTACTTCATGTGATAAATCAGGTCGATGTTGAGAATCTCTGGCACTGTAGTTGTCCTTCCAATTCATTCTGTAATTTGGAAAATCTGACTTTGAGTGACAACAATAAATTATTGGAGGTCATATCCTCCAGCATGATCATAAGATACAACAACCTGAAATTGTTGACTGTGAACAAATGTGAATTACTGAAGGAGGTTTTTAACCTTGAAGATGACAAACAAGATCATGATATCACAGAAATGCTTCCTCAACTAAGGGAATTAGCATTGAGTAACCTAAGCGGTTTGACACGTGTCTGGAACAAGGAACCCCAAGTTCCATTCTTCCTAAACTTGGTGTCACTTCACATTGTCCATTGTGGTAACCTTAAAAGTCTATTCTCACTCTCTGCTGCTAAAAATCTTGTGCAACTCAAATTACTCAATTAGTGTAATTGTGAGAAATTAGATGAGGTAATATATGTCGATGAAGATGAAAGTGTGTTGATCATTTTTCCTAAAGTAGAATGCCTCGTACTCAAGGATCTTCCAAACTTAGCAAGTTTCTGTCGGCAAAGTGGAACTATTAATTGGCCTAAATTACATACAGTGAGGGTAAGTAATATACCATGTATGGAGACATTTTATTGAGGTCGTATCAACACACAATTGCTGAGAGCAGTTTATATAACATTTGTCAAGAAATGTTGGCATAGAAGTTTGAATGAGACCATATCATACTTGTACAGAATGCAGGTATGCAAACTTTAATTTTTTATGCAGAAATTGAAAACTTATGGTAGTTAGTGATACAACATGTTATTGAACATATATTCTGAATTTAAATTAAAAAAAAAGAATTTAGTACTATTCTTTTTGTTCACTTTCAAACCTTTTGGGATTATGAAAGGTTTTTCATTTCATTAACTGTTGTGAAGGACACGAAAATCATATTAAGTTTATAAAATTGATGGGATTATAAAGAGCAGAATTTCAAAATGGTTCACCTTTGCGTTTGTGCTCATTGTGTAAGCAAAAACAAAATTACAATAAATGCATGGAAATATTGTTGATTGATTGAATGTTAAGTTCTTTAGGTGCTTTTGTTTGTAAATTGTACCAAATTTTTCTTATATGTTGCAATGTTTTTCTGTATGGATTGATTAAAAATCAAATGAAAAACATCAAGCCAAGGAGGAAGGGGTTGTACCATCTTACCTGACGGAAAAAGACAGAGAATGAACAACGAAGGAACTCTCATCCAGCTACTGTTATGAGGTGTTTGTCTAAGGTAGTCTCAAGTCTTTAACTTTCCAACATACAAGGGTTTTTTTTAATTTTGCTTAATACTTTAGACATTATTTGTAGTAGAAATATGCAAGAAAAATAATTAACCGCATAGTCATATGACAAAAAATGCTTTATGATACATTGATAAAAGGTCAACCAAATTATAAGTGTTACATTGATAAGAGTGATGTGCTGAATGAGTGGCTATATGTACAATAAAAGTTAAGATTATGAATG